TGTGTGTGTGTGTGTGTGTGTGTGTGTGTGTGTTCAAGCATGAGCTGCTAAAAGTCTGTACTCAAGTTGTAGCAAAAGATAAGAAAGGAATGGAATATTTTAGGAGCTACTGTAAAAGAAATCAGATTCTATAAAAATAGAAGAACCAAAGTCAACTCTGAGAAGGGAAACTTGTTTCAAGGGAAACGTTGTGGGATAAAGATGAATTTGGTTTGGGGTGTGTTGAGTTTATAATGCCAGGCCATCTCACTGGCAACATCGAAGAGGTCACCTTTGGAAGGTGATCTAGAAGTCACTTGGCTAGAGGTGATACTGAATCCAAAATTATAAATGAGTAGTCCAGAAGACAAAATAAAGATAAGCATAGAGCACTTAAGGCCTAAAGCTTCTGTAATGGAAAGGAGTTTGGGTGTGGAAAGGCTAATAAGTGAATGGTTACAGAGGCAGGAAGACCAGCAAGATCTCTTGTGAGTAATGCTCAAGGTTTAGTCCATTCCTTGATGAGTATTTCCCCTTCACAGTCCTCCAAACACTGAGGTATAGTTTGCACAACAAGACATCAAAGGGCCTGAAAGTTTGAGAAACTTGTTGAAAGCCAAAAGAGCATGTGGCAGAGCTTAATTCTTTCACTTTCCCTCCATTTCCTTGTCCAAATGCTCTCCTAGGTGTCTTATAGCACAAATGTCTCTTCTATATTTAAAAAAAACAAAATAAAAACCCCCAAATCTGTAGGGCAAAGTTTAAGCTACTGAACTGTTTCGGCATATTTTACTTATCAGAGTACTTACAGAAAAGTGTTATTTCAGTTGCTTAAGCAAATAGAGATCTTCTGTAGTCCTAGTGCCCTGGGCAGCAGGCGGCTCTGGACCTTTTGCCTGCTTCCAGCTTTCCAAGGAACCCAAACCCCTACCCTCGCAGGCTCCAACAAGCGTGGCATTTTTTTTTTTTTTTAATTTTTAAATTTATTTTGAGAGAGCAGAAGCGGGAGAGGAAGAGAGAGGGAGACACAGAATCCAAAGCAAGCTCCAGGCTCTGAGCTGTCAGCACAGAGCCCAATGCAGGACTCGAACCACGAACTGAGAGATTATGACCTGAGCCAAAGTAGGACATTTAACGGCCTGAGCCACCTAGGCGCCCCACGAGCTCAGCATTTTAATATTTGAGTGGGAGCCACACCGGTGCCACGTTGCTTCCAAGCAGCAATATTTGCCTTTCAACTAAGTCTGTCCTTTGGCACAAAGAATGCCTCAAATATGGTGGGGATCTCATTCCCTGAGGTAAACTTTCGGGAAGCACTCTAGTGTAGGTACTCCTCAGGTTGGCCTTCACTGTAACTGAAGAAGTCATGGTCTTGGCAGGTGAATAATGGATTTGCTTTCCCAAATCTCCATTCTATTAAATTACTTGTATGACTAAAATGATGTCCTTTTAAGAACACATTCTCAGAGTGCCTGGGTGGCTCAGTCGGTTAAGCATCCGACTCTTGGTTTTGGCTCAGGTCATGATCTCACGGTTCGTGAGTTCGAGCCCCACATCAGGCTCTGCACTGACAATGTGGAGCCAGCTTGGGATTCTCCCTTTCCTCCCCTCTGTCTACTCCTCCCCTGCTTGCTCGCTCTCAAAATAAATAAACTTAAAAAAAAAAAACAAAAAACAGAACACATTCTCATGCCTGAACTAGATTATGTAGTTTGTATAAACTAGATTACTTTGCCTTTTTCTCCCTTGAATGTATTTTACACTCTAAGCTTTTGAGTCCTGTTTCTCTACACATAGCAATTCTGATTTCATTGTGGGTTTCTGATTTGGCCACTAGAGATCTTGATGACAAGCTACTTATGAGACCTGGATCCAGTACCATCCTTTCAACCCGAAATTGGCCAAATCGAGCCCTGGAGCTTAGCACATCAGCTCTGTCATACACAGTGCAGTCCGCCAGGAGACGCAATCCCCCACCACGTACGCTTCATCCCATCAGCACAAGCCATTCATGCGCTGGAACGCCAAGGCCTGTGGAAGAAATCCTCAGAGGATCCCGAGTGTAGGTTTCAAAGCAGAATTTTTGGAAACTGTGATAAAACTAATGAAGAATTTTATGAACAGAATGAATGCTTAGAAATTAATCATTACATATTCTCATGATTGTTTAAATTCAATATAGAAAAGGTGTGGTTACATTTGAATATAATACGGCTATTGGATCTCTCTGTTAGTCTAGCTTAAGATTTATATTTCTACAAATGAAATGGCTAGAATACTTCAGTGACACTTATCTAAGGAATAAAACATATGTATCTTATTAAACATCTTCCTTAGTGGATATATGTTCAGTGAAATTCATCCCAAAATAATAGATCCTCTGAATATTTTTCTGTACCATTGGGATCTGCTTATTCTACTGACAATGATAACATTTTAACCTCAGATAAGTACTTGCCTACATACCAGGAAAAATAAACCTTAGCACTTCTTAGGAAATAACACTAAACATATTCGCTTCCCTTTTCCTACCCTTACTTCACTTTGAGCCTCATAATGCAAAAAATATTTAGAAGCCAATTTTTTAAATAAAATTCTCTCATTAGTTGTTGATTCATAAAACATATTAGGATGTTTGATTCTAAGACTATGATCAAGGGTATGAGGTAATATGGCTATAACTGTGTTTTGAATTCAGCTTCTAAATTAAGCATATGTCACTATGCTTCTCTCCCAACATGTCATTCGTGGACTTTGATTTTTCAATTTCTTGTTTTAATTTGTCCCCATAGATTCAGTAAGAGATGTCTATACCGACCACAAATCTTTCATGACACCAGGGTTCTTCTCACCTGGTGAGAACTATTTTATTATGTTGATGTTGATACTGATACAGCTATAGATTAAATTTATTGAGGATAAGTGTGGATAAGGGAGGACTACTGTTATTAGTGAAAAGGACAATCAAAAGGCCCAGAACTGTGGAGAATTCCATCAGATATGAAATTACAAATCCATAACAGGTTAACACCATGCAGTGTTAACACCAGACAGGGAAAATTTCACTAAGAGCTCAACTTATGCTGTGTGCCCAGGATAAAGTTTCAACAAAAATCAGAAAATACTATGAAAAATACTATGAAAATACTATGAAAAAAACCAAACTCTGATTTTCCAAAATCCTTTCACTGAGATTTCTTTACGTAAAAACATAAACAGCTTAAAGCATCTGTGCATGACATTAACTCATCTCCTTCATTTCTTTCGTTCTAATTAGTTCTCTTGTATTGTTGTAACTTTATGCTTTCCTATCTTGGTGTTTGCTGGTGGGATCTGCAGTCCAGGAGCGGCGGACTCACTCTCCTCTCCCTCACCAATGCCCCTGAGTCGAAACAATCTCCTGCCACCTATTGGCACAGCTGAAGTGGAACACTTAAGCACTGTGGGGTCACAAAGGCAAACGGTAGGTCTTTCTCCTGTTGCCTTTTCCATGTGCTTATGAGACCTCACGGCCAGCAATTGTGCAAGATCCATGTTCTGGTCTTGATTTATACTGCATTTTGTCAAAAGTACAAACTGAATCCTAATTTATGACAATGGAATTGGAGCTGCTTGGCCTGCAGTTATCATACCTACCTGGGGTGATGTAGGCCATGTACAGCTCTCACTACAAATTAACTGTTTCTTGTAATTTTTGTCTCCTCTGCAGAAAACCCATGGTGACTCCAATCGAGCTCGAAGTGCAGTGGTGGATGAGCCTAACCATCAGCAGCCCCAGGAGAGGCTCCTTTTACCTGACTTTTTCCCCAGGCCCAACACTACTCAGTCATTTTTGGTAAAGTGACATACTTCTATGGTCTTGACAGTTGGGGAAAGAAAATTAAAAAAACTAGTCTGGCAGACTTAAGATTTCATGTAGTAGCTTAATCAACTCCAAGAATAAAAGCTGAGGTTCTTAATAATAAAAATAGCATTAGTAGTATATTTTTTTGAAATTCTAACTGGTCTCTGCCACTTATTCAACTCATAAAAAGAATAAGTTAAAATGCCTTATACATGAGTCACAAATTCTAAACAATTTAAATTGTTAAATATTAAATATTTCTGAGAATAAACAAAAAAAAAATGTTAAACTCCAGTGCATATCAGATCAGCATAACTCATTCTCTAACACTGCCCTTACAGAGTTACACCAAAACTGGTATCAGATTATGATGTGGACTGATGGAGAGGTAACTCACCTAAAAAAAATAGAAGTCAACTCTTTGATGTTTGAGATGCTTACATTACCATTTAATGTGCATTTACTAGCCTTTTAAGCAAATAATAGAAAAACTGAGTTGGGAGTGGAGGCCATGCACTGACCTTGCCCAACTGTAGGCCAGGAGCTCAGCCCCACCTGATCTTTGTGGCAAGAGGGCTTGAAGAGCCTCGGGAAGTGAATGGGGCCACACTCAGTGCCCAGGAGCCAGGGGCCTCACATCTTATACCAGTTTTCAGGATGGTGCTATTTGAAGCCCACTTATTCCAACTCATAAGCTTTGAACTATATCAGCCTAAAGCAATATACAATCCTCCACTGAGAGTGGTGAGAACAATAAACTACTGGGATGTTGTATTAGTTTCCTAGGGCTACCGTAACAAATTACCATAGACTGGGTGGCTTAAAACAACAGAAATTTATTCTATCAGTTCCAGAGCCTAGAAGTCCAAAATCAAGGTGTCAGCAGAACAATGCTCCCACTACAGGATCTATGGAGGATCTTCTCACCTCTTCTTGGCTTCTGGTGACTGCAGCAGTCCCTGGCCGTCCTTGCCTTGCAGCTGCCATCACTCCAGTTTCTGCCTATACCTTCACACAGCCTTCCTCCCTGTGTCTGTGTCCAGATTTCCGTCTTATGAAGATACCAATCATTGGATTTATGGCTGACCCTAGTCCAATATGACCTCACCTTATCTTGATGACATCTGCAGAAATTCTATCTCCAAATAGTCATATTCACAGGTTCCAGGTGGACATAAATTTTGGCAGCAGCTGCAGGAGGGGACACTTCAACTCAACAGACCTTAGGAGACTTTATTTAGGGGGAGATTCACCAAAACGTGACCTAAAGGGAAATGTGAGCATTTCTGATTCTTACTCAATGTGAACTCTAGAAAAGTTTGAGAACCTCTATTAAATCTGTCCTCTCATAATTTGATTCAGGGCACTCGTTAAAGCAGTGTTCCATGATTATATTCTACAGCTAGATTCTCTATAAAACATTTATATAATTTTCAGTTTCTTCTTTTTCTGACGTTTATAACAATAAAAGTAAGAATTTCTTACCTTAGCTGTGTCTTTCCCAGTTTGCTGTCATGCAAAGGGAGATCAGCTAGTTGCTCGATGTAACTGAGAGCATTATAACTGAGTCCCTGGCTTGGCACTTCCAGACTAGCACTCTGCTCCTACAGGTGAACAAACTATTTTTATGGACCATTTAGCTCACCACAAAAGTTAGTCTGCTTTTGTAAATAAAGTTATTACAGGAGAGCTACCGTACTCATTCACTTATGTACTGTCTATGACTGCTTTCCCACTCTAACAGCAGAGTTGAGCAGTTTCTAGCAGTACGTACCACAAAGCATAAAATATCTACTTTCTGGCCCGCCAGAAAGGAAGTTTGGTGACCCCAGTAAAAAAAAAAGAAAATGGGGCTTCACCAAAAAAAGGTTCCTGAAATGTCTTAATTCCAGTGCTCTGACAGGGAACTGAGAGGGATGTTTTTTATTCCAGAAGCACCAGCAGGATGGCATTGATAGGTGTTTTTTTTTTTTTATATTTACATTTCAGTGTTTTAATCATATCTTAAAATTTTTAAATTATCAGAGGTGATTTTGAAATGTTTGAACTTCATACTGAGAGTCACATTTCAAGTATGGAGGTAAAGTCATGGGTGTTTTAATGTTGCTGAAAAGGCTCTGTTGTTTTAAACTTTAGTCAGCAGGCAGTCTAAATTAGATAAAATTCCCTTAACAGCCATTATAAATACTGAGAAATATTAAACCATATGGATTACTTATAAGTGCTAAAATTATCTTAAAGGCATATTAATAAAATTTTAGAACTTAAGAAATTTTTAAAAAAAGAACTTAAAAATTCTTACAAGTTAACAAATGGCTTTGTAGGTCCCCGGCTTGGGATTCTTTACTTGAAATACAAGAGTGCATTCAACCAACTTGTCCCTCAGCTGGCAGACAATGCCATTTACATTGCTGTCTGATTTCAAGGTATTCCTTTATAAACCTACTAACATACATCCTTTGGGGGAAGTCCCATTGTAAGAAGTGTCTCATCTTTTCTGTTTTACAGCCAGATACACAATATCATTCGTGTGTTGCTGAGTATCCTCATCAGGCCCGACCTGGTAGGGGATCTGCAGTGACAGGTGGGACCATTGCTCTTATTTTACTATGTGGCTATGTTAAGACCCTGCCTTTGTCTGTTTTCTATGTTTATTTTCCCTTCCTCCAGATTTTATTATATTTTGTTTTCCTACATTTGTAAATCATCTCAAATTCCTTTGGAAATGGCATATAATAAAGATCGAGGAGACCTCTGTTGCCCAGAGCCAAGTTCCAGATTCGTTTTCTCATATGTAAATTAACTTCTCACCACTCTGGCAAAATAGACAGTACTTTCTTTTCTTCAATCTAAAAAACTTAAGTGAAATAAGTCATTTTTATAACATTCAAACACTGCATGGGTTTTATTATGTAGATCGATATTTCTGTAGAATAAACTTGCTATGGTCAGTTAACCTGCTAGGCCAAGGTAAGAAAAGAAATTTAAAAATGACAAGACATGCAGACTCTTAGCCTATCCCATTAACTTTTATTTCTAAGTCATATTCTATAGACTGTATTTTCATAGGAAAGAAGAAATTTTAAGGATATCTTAAAAGTTATCTTCCTATAATGGTCTTCTCACCACCATCAGGGTCATTCTCATTATGTTGTAGGTGAAATATGGAAGTATTAAGCAGTTGAAATGTTTCCTGTTAATAAGATTAAAAAATAATCTGCCTCAAATTATCTGTCATCCAAGTAAATTCTCTTGTTCAGTTCCTATTTGCATTTTTTGGCAGTCTCTGAATGCTTTCAGTGGATTCTTTTCTTGGATTAGTAGTCCTCAAAGAGACACAGTGCTGCCTCTGAGCTATAGTTACTGCATTTAGCCATGTTGATGGCCAGTTATAACATTTAGATAAGTGAAACAGACATATTAGTCTGTTTTACTTGGTGGGTTCTTCTCTAGAACTAGGTTTCATATCTTAATACAGACTTGTAGGTTTTACATGATAAAATAATGTAAATGTGGTTCTTACTGCCTTGGTAAATATATACTTTATTACTTAGTACCAGTCTCCAAATTTCAGTCCAACTGATAATTGGAGCAAAAAAAGCCCTTAGATATAAATTTGAGATTACCAAATCTAAAATGTCTACTAATGTTACTTTATGATGTCATCTTTGTCTGACAGGTCCTCAGTTACATGGGTCTACAAAATCTCAAAACAGAGGTGGACCAGTCTCTAGAACCAAGCAGGGACCATAGGGCAAATAGAAGAACCTGCTTCAGGCTGCAGGGAACACGTGAGAGAATTTCATGAATCAGTGTCCAGTCATCTTGTGATGCGAAGCTTGTATACAAAAGAACTTAAAACATCTTCATGAAGTGTTAATCTGGTGTAACTGACTGAGGAAAAAAAAAAAGAATATCCGCCAAAGATTACATGGGTACTGTTTTTCCAGTTACCATCTTCTTTCAGCATTAAGTTAACCTACTCCACTGGACAGAATCTGTATCCAAAAATGTAACAAATGAATAATTATCCCCAAATCACTGCTCATGTTGTCTGTTAATGATGATCAGTTCAATTATAGGATTCTATAAGAGTCTATGAAGACTATACATACACAAAAAGCAGCAAATGATTGTTTGATAACATGAAGCTATATCACTGGCTTCAGAACACTTCCACTTGTATGAATTTCTGGAGAGTTGTACTCATTTTTAAGGCATTTTTAGGAGACAGTTCTGTCAAAACTCTGAGCTACTCATCAAACAGATGTCATTCCTAAAGGTTTCTCTTTAGATGTCCAATCTTCTAGGCAGAGGTATGGAAGGGGTGAGTAATAAAGACATAAATGTTGAACACTGGTTTAAAGTAACTTATGTAATAAGTCATAATGTATATATATTTTCAGACAGGACAGCTCAACCTCACAATGCCTGCTTGATATCAGATTATGCTTTTCTTAAAGGACTTTAGCGGTTATATATATATATTTTTTTAACTATTAAATTCACCTTATCAGATTTTCTTCTTAAGTTCTAAGTCAACTTGAAAATTTATTGGGGCGCCTGGGTGGCGCAGTCGGTTAAGCGTCCGACTTCAGCCAGGTCACGATCTCGCGGTCCGTGAGTTCGAGCCCCGCGTCGGGCTCTGGGCTGATGGCTCAGAGCCTGGAGCCTGTTTCCGATTCTGTGTCTCCCTCTCTCTCTGCCCCTCCCCTGTTCATGCTCTGTCTCTCTCTGTCCCAAAAATAAATTAAAAAAAAAAACGTTGAAGAAAATTTATAGAATCTGCTGGTAAGCCAGCAATGCCTTAAAATTTCAGAAACTCTGGTAATTGGTCTAGTATAAACATATCCTAAGAGCAGAAGTAGAGAACTTCAACATTCTTCTGATTTCACCATGGACTTTTTTTTGGAGGACATTCATAAATGCAGCATAATGCAGGTTTTAACTATGGCTTAAATTTATTTTATTTAAATTTCAATGAACTTTAATTTTGATTACCCTATAAGTTTTAAATCTTGTTAATCTTCAGAGTGGATAAATTCAGGTGACCATAAATAGGGGTATCTTTTTTATTATATCAAAGTGTACTATGCTATCATATAAAGAAGACAGATGCTTTGAACAACCTGCCTTAAATTATATTTTCAACACAAATTAAAGAGTATTTTTTAACCTGTGTGTAATCACAAACTGAAAGCGTTTCATGTGCTTACCTCAGTTATCATACATAAAGCTCAGTAACAGAAGGGCTGTGTTATGCATATGGTATTGGATACGTAAGTCTACAAATCAGAGATATTAAGTTTAACAATTGCTAAAAAAATTTCCATATATTCCAATGACTATATACTGATCTGACTAAATTAAGTAAAAACCTGTACTTTTCTCACAAATCAATACCATGAGTGCATGGTAACAAACCACGGGATCAAGATGGTCTGCCTTTCAAATGTAGAGTCAGAAGACACCTCTGAAGAAGTCACTTAGCCCAATTCCCTCACCCTTTCATAGATGAGGAAACAAACGACCTAAGAACACTCAACAGTTACAGGTAGGACAACTTCTGTTTATGATACTTAAACCAGACTACCTACTATAAATAAGCTGACTAGGATTATTTTTCTTCTCTCTTCTCTAAGCACCTTCCATAGTTTCTCTAGATTACAGATTTTTAAATGATCACAAAGATCATTTAGAAGGCCCCACAACTTAATAGTCCTTTTTAACCTGTTTATTTCATCAGGTATTAAGTCTTACAAAGATGCCTGAGGTAATCTGAACATGTTTCTCCTACACTTCAAGCAGAGTACAAAAGCTGGCTGAGTAAAACAAAAAGGAAAGGGGATCTATTCAAGAATATTAAGCCTGAAAGTAAACTCGCAAATATGTGAAAGACAGATGTCCAGCAAGTGTTTTGAAGGCTTTCTAGCCAGGTAGAGTTACTGTTCTAATAAACACACACATCACTTCGAATACTCTGCAGCTGTGTGCACACTCTTGTGTGCCAAAATGACAACTGCTAAAGGCTATATGGGACAGACCCACATTCCAGATAAGAGTTTCTTGCACAGAAGACCCATAGAAGCAAGTGCTGCCAGGAATACACCACTCACCCCCATTCCCTCAAAAATCACCACTAAACTCCTTTATACAGGACCTCAAAGAATGTCAGGGGATTTCTAGGGTTCCTAAAATCAGGTTGAGAGATTCTGCGTGGTTTACAGAATTGATCTGAATAATCTAGGCTGGAAGGACAATTTTTCTCAAGGGCGGGGTTGACTTTTGTCTTCAAATCTTGACTGTACCTTGCCTGTAAGGGCACCAATTAACACTTAAAGACTTTTGAAGAGAAAATTCCATTATTTCTTTTCTTTCTTGAGAGGCGTTTTTTTCCCTCCTCGTTTAGAAGGTTTGCAGTACTTTGCTTCCATCTGAGCCAGAAAATTGTCCATTTCCTTTTGCCGATCCTTTTGTCTGCTCTGTTTAAGAAGTTAAAACACAAGCTTTCAAAACACAAGGCTATCCAGAGACAAAAGTACTCAGTGGTTGCCAAGGGCTGGTGAAAGGGAGAATGGGTGAATGACTGCTAATGAGCAAGGGATTTCTTTTAAGGTGATGAGAATGTTCTGGAATTAGTGCTGACAGTTATAAAACTTGATGAATATACTAAAAGCCACTGCATTGTGCACTTTAAAAAAATGAAAACATGGTATGCATGGTATGCAAATTATGTCTTAAAAGAAAACAAAATACCCACAACATCATATATACACTATAATGAAAATACTAGCAGAAGGAATCAGAACACGAAAGTGGTGACAACCTTTAAAGACAACCTGTCAAGTTTACCTGAATGACTGCTTTCAAATTATCTACTCCTTCATCAAGGCCCAACTCCTTCCTGCTCATTTCTGCTTCTTTAGCCTCTTCCTGAGCCTAAAACAGAAACTCACATGAGACTCCATGGAAACTTAGCATATACTAAAAACATACCCTCTTTCCCAACACCAGATCTATTAATAACCTTTCATTTTGAGGATTATGCAGGTTACAAGAACACAATTACATAAATATGTCATTCATTAAAAGACAACACAGCTGACAGCATGCAGTAGATCCCCTGATTCCAATAAGCATTTCTGAGTTTCCCTCATTTCTACTAGCTAGGGGTAGCAAGTAGTTTGGTATTCATAAGCCACATGGTGGTGAGAATGAAAACAAAACACTAGAAGTAGGAAAGGTCATTTAACCAAGGATGCCCTCAAAAACGTTGTCAAGATACAGGCATCTCAGATTCCTCTCCTCTGGAAGCCCACTTTTTACATGTGACTTGTGGCAGCCTTGAGAGTAACCCTGGCTTAAAATTCCCAAGTAGTCAGAACAAATACTAACAAACTCAGTTTTAACCTTTCTTTACCTGATTTCAAAGCCACCTTCTTCTGCCAAATTTTCCTAGGGCACTGATTCCAAAATACAACAAGAATATCTTGAGAAAGGTTAATGAGTTTGTTCTTTATTTCAGGGCAACAACTAACACTATAATAGGTCCCAAACCCCGGTAAATTTTCTAAATAACAATGAACACCATTAATACTGGGAATGATGATACATTAGGATTTTGTTATTCCAATAAAAAGAGTTTCCATGCTCTACTTTCAGTCCTTGTATTCTATTTCTGTCTTTTAATACTGTGTACCCACTCCCCAGGTTTGGTGGAGTCTCTCTCAAAACTATACCATCCCCCATCCCCCAATTCTAGGGAAGTTTCTCAAGCTAATATCCTATTACTGGATACAGCTGTGCTCAGTTTCACCAGAGAAAATTATTACCAACTTAAACGGTCAACTTGAGCCTAAACAGATATAGCCCATGAGCCCAAATGATTAATACTATTACTTTTTAAAGTATGCTCCATGCCAAACATGAGGCTTAAACTCATGACCCTGAGATTAAGAGTAGCATGCTCTACTGACTGAGCAAGCCAGGCACCCCCAAAATGATAACCTTGATACACATTTCACCTTGCTCAACAAATATGTACACACACACACACACACACACACACACACACACACACACACACACACACACACACGAGCTCACCCCTGGTATGTATCTTGTATCAAAGTTGCAGACCTACTTCCACCTCCAAATCTTACACTGTCTACTCTCCACAGAGCTCCCATTAGGAAATCCAGGTTGAGGCAATGGTTACTATCCCAGAAGACCAGACACACAGATGTTTGCTACCTTGAATCCACTCCCTCCCAGAATCTCAGCTGTTCCTAAATTACTTTCCCCTGCCATCAACCCTCCCTCTACCAATGCCACAGTATAGTAAGGTACAGAGGCCACAATCCTGGGCTCACCACAAGAGTGTTTCTCTCAAAGTGTGTTTGGGAATACAGTTGCATCAAAATAAACTGAATCGTTTGTATAGAAATATATATTCTAGGCCTAACTCAAGAACCAGTCTGGGCAAGGGCAAAAGAAAATCTGTATTAACAAGACACAGTGCCCCCCCTCTCCCCAAAAGTTTCTGTCATCCTCTCCCCATCCCTTAACCGAGTGAGAACCACCATCTAACCTATGTATCTGGACTCCATTAATTTATCTCTTGAGGAATAAAGAATATTTGTGTTAAGATGATATTAGTTTAAAAAAAAAGATATTAGTTAAACCATACACATAGTAAAATCCTGTTGACCACAACATACTAGGGAAAAAAGTTTCTCTTGATGAGCTGGCATGCTCATTTCATTAGACAACCACTATTTAATAAGTTAACCCTGATTCGCATTTCAGTAATCTTCTATATATTTGTTATTGTAAATACTCTCATATTCTCTTCGGAAGCAATCAGGATATAAATAATAAATTGCATTCAAAATCTTACCCTCCTTTTTCTTGCATTCATCTTTTGCTTGGATTCTTTGACAAAGGCATTATAGGATGGGATCTCTCCAGCATCAATGGCTTGCTGAATAATGTTCCTTATCCTGGGTTCCTCTGTGTACTGCACACACAGCACAGACTCCATGATCTGATCCATGTCACCCTTGAAATCCAAATAGGCCTGTTTAATATCTGCCAGCTCTTCTTCAGAACCTTTGTATGTCTTTTCAAAAGCTTGAATGTCTTCTAGAGATATCTGAACAGAGACATATGCTTTAGCTTTAACTGACAATTTTATTTTAAATAAATAAAAAGCATACTAGTAAAACTAGATTTAGGTGTTGAAATATTTCCCCCCAAGTACAACAGTTGCTTGAGTTGAAATTGTTGCAAGGAACCACATTTTCTATGCCAAAGCTTTTCCAGAGTTCTCCCTGCTCCAACCTTCACAACTACTAAATTACAGACCAGGAAATTTTAAATGAAGTCTCCCGGGAAAACTCGAGACTTACATGTGGATATGTACAATGAAGCACTATCTCGTAAAATATTAAACTACCTTTTTCACTACAATCGCTCTACATCAACAGTAAAGTAAAGGCTCATTTAAATAGATTTATTCTTTGTATCTCCTGAGGAATGCTTGCTTGTATGTGTGTATATATCTGTATTTTGAGATGAAACAAATTCCTCATTCCTACACAACACAAAATGCAATGCCTTAAAGGCATTCAATAAACGTTTGTCGAATGAATGAACAGTCACAGAGAAATCTCCAGAGTCCTCTACCTTTTTAAAAAGTAATCTCCAATACGTCTCCCAGTCCCGATCTTGGTTGAGCACATCAGAATCTTCGTCCACTGTTCCCTGCTCGTTGTACAGTGCTCTCTGCTCTTTGTCGCTCAGAACAGAATAGACTTTCCCGAGGATCTGTGGGGAAAGAGCATCCAAAAGTCACCCTTTGCATTCCTCACTGAAACCGCGCTTGAGAACTAAAGATTACAAAAAGCCAGACCCGGCTGGGCGCACTCCGCTGGGGCGGGGCCAGTCGGCCAAAAGACCAAGAGAAACCCAGGAGGCCAGTGGAGCGGGGACTCACATACCTGGAAACGGCGGGTGGCGTCTTCTTTGTCGTCCTCGCCGACCCGGTCCGGGTGCACCTGCAGAGACACCTTGTGGTAGCCGCGCCGGACCTCGCTGTCCGAGGCCTCGCGCCGCACGCCCAGCACTCGATAAAGGTCGGCAGTACCGAACACTTCCTCGCACAGCTCCAGCAGCCCCATGGCCAGTAAGGGCAGGGAGCGAGCTGCAAACTCCGCAAAAACTGCCGGTTCCGGCCACACTGCCTAGCGCTCCGAACTCCCTCCTTTTCCCGCGCAAAAATACCCAGGGCGACTGCGTCACAAGAAGCGCCGGAGGGGCGTGGCCAGGACGCCGCACTTTACGGCGGCTGCAACACGGGGGCGTGGCCAGTCTAGAGGGAGCTGCTGTGGGAACCTCCTTCCGCGTGGTTAGCCTTTAAGGCCCAGTGCCAGGATGCCCTCCTCCCCTTACTCAGGAAATCTGGCGCCTATCTTCTCCCCAGTGTCCCAACGCATAAGCTTATTTAATATATGGCAGGTCCATACTACTCGAATCTATATATTGCTGTTTTGTTTGCCTTTTTAATGTAAAAAACTTCATTAGCATTGACGTTTGGCAATTTGATATGGTTCAACGATCCAGACAGGAGTACACAGAACGCGCAGACCCAATAATTTTGCAACCTACAGGCTGGGACTGCTGGGTAAGGGGTTTCCCTCGATTCCTGCAAGAAAAAAAAACCCTAAACCAAAAGCACAAAATACCGGTCTTTTAACTCTAACGTTTATTACAGAATCATTCCCATTTACCTTTCACTTTGGTGAAGGTAACGTGACCCAAACCCTCATCTTAGTAAAAATAAAGATGCTGAAGAAAAAGCTTTTTTTTTTTTTTTTAATGCTTTCTAAAGTACAAAGCTGGGTTTGAGCATGTTGAATTTGATGCAATCAACTAGAAGATGGTGAGAAACTGTGTCAGGAGATCCAAAGCAAGGCTAGATAGAGCTTGAGATAACCTTGGAAATCAGGGACAGGATGAGCTCACACAGGAAGTGTGTGTATACAGATCATAGGCAAAGGATAAACCAAAGCACAAAGTGAATACTTGAGTTGGCAGAAACTCAGTAGCTCAAAATAATACCTTAGCTTAACTCATTTCCCAGCAGTTCCCCTTGCTGTTCAATACTTTTCAGAATCATTCTCCTCTGATCTACAATTACAGTTTACCCAAAGATCTTGAACTCTCCAAAGTGGATTATTATCTTTAACTTCCAGAGTTCCCATGGTTTTCATAGCATTTCTCATTCCCAGATTCCAGATGAAATCCAGGTAGTCAGTTCTTCTTGGCCTGCTCTGCCTTCAAAGTTCCCTCAAAGCAAGGGAGGCCAACCAGTGACACCCCTGGGACAGACTTGATGATGCCATAGCGAGATCGCTGGTAACTGTTCTCAGGATACAAAACCCAGACAATAAAATAAATTGGTACATTGATAGCCCTTTAGTATCTCCTCTATAAATCTCCCCACCCTGGTCTCATGCCAAAATTTGAAATCTGTACTATCCAGGGTGTGCACTAAAATTCTCCAATCCGTGCCCGTGGTTGTCCTGCAAAATGGTGGACCAGATAATGTGACACCTTGGGTTTTGGGCACAGCCCATCATTTATATTGCCAAATTCATCATACCTAAACTTCATCCTATCACTGGCTTTTTCAGTGGACTTTTGAAAAGCTCCTCATCTTTGCTCATCTCACACCCACCCTGCCCCAGACACTCTAATATGCTGTAAAGGGCTCTCCAGGTAGGCATAGTGGGCTCTGAATCCTAGCTCTGCCCAAATGAAAATAGGTGGCTTTGGTCAAGTTTCCACCTCTCAACCTCAGCCTCCCATCAATAAAACAGAGACAATCCTACTCACTTTCATGATACCTAATAATCCTCACAAATAACCCTACTTGTAAAGAGCTGAGAATGTACATAGGTACTTTTCAATATTACCTTTCTTCCATTTTCATATTCTTAAAATAGGCTCTTATAGCCTAAAAGCTCATTAAAAACTCTACCTTTGTAGGGCGGCTGGGTGGCTCAGTCAGTTAAGCGTCCGACTTCGGCTCAGGTCATGATCTCATAGTTCTTGAGTTCAAGCCCCGCGTCGGGCTGTGTGCTGAGAGCTCGGAGCCTGGAGCCTGCTTCGGATTTTGTGTCTTCCTCTCTCTCTGCCCCTCCCCAACTCATGCTCTATCTCTCTCAACAATAAATAAACACTAAAAAATTTTAAAAAATCTGCCTTTGTAAATTTGAGATTATGTGTCAAACAAGACAATATAAATTTATAATTACAAAAAAATAATAATAAGCAAAGTGTGTCTTTGAGCTAGTGAGATGACCGTAAGTGATTAAGGAAGGAATTACTCTGATGGACCATGGACAGGCTGGCTGGGGGCTGTCAAACAGGGGTCTTGGAAGGCAACAGATTGTAAAGTTGCCCAAAGAGATCCAGGGCCCAACCCAAAGTCCAACACACCCCATAGTCACGGTCCTTCTCCCAGATGAAGGCTGAAAAATCGAATTAGTAACTAGACCCAGATTTATGTCAGAAAGAACAAATCTCTCCCTGAGCCCTGCTCAGGCCAGGCCAGAACATGGGTGACTCAGAAAACTCCATTTATTGACCTCCAAAGCTAATAAAACTAAGTGCTCTGCACAGGTGTTTTAAGAGAACTTTGACCTTATTCCCAATGCTCTGCTCAAGCTCAGCTGAAGTCAGCTCGTTTTTGTTTCTGTAGCTTCTGTGTCTGTTTTCTGAGATGCTAAGAGGACTTCACGTGCTCGTTTCCTTCGCAGCCTCTCAGCATTTGTGATCATCATGGGATGCAGAGGGAAGAAGCCAGAGAGACCTACAAGCAACAGGATTTTCACTCATTATAACGTGGAAAAAGGAGTCTCCACATTCAAAATGACAATTAGAACACAACTTCAGCTCTCACTCCAGTCCTGATCAGCCTGAGGTAATGAAAGTCATTCTTAACTACTATCATCCTGAAACTGACTTCAATTTAAAATCCCCTCAATGAAGTAAGGCTAGAGCTAGGTTACCCAGAAGCTTCTCCACAGGCTTAGAGAGGTGAGCCCCACAGCCAATCCAATGCCGGATCCGGTCCAGGTTGAGAGCAACGATTTTCTCTCCATGACTGTTGGGCAATGGATCATAGGAGCCCAGCTGCTCCACGAAACGGCCATCCCTAGGGCACTTGTTGTGAGCAGCCACAATGCGGTAGAAAGGCCGGTTGGTACAGCCACTCAAGGCAAGGCGGATGGTTAAGTGGCCTCCATGGTAGGCCTTGCAGAGGACAGTAGCTATAGAGAAATAAATGGTTAAGACACAAGAACTGAGTACACAAAATGGACAAAATGAGTTAGATAAACAAGCCCCTTCCTCAACTGTGGTATCTTTACATCCAACCAATTATTGTCAATCTGGTTTAAATATTATATTCTTTGTGAAACTCCTCTCATGCTCTTCAACGAGAAGTGACTACCTCCTCGTCCCTCAATCCACTCAACACCGGCCTGCCATTTAATAGCTCTGCAACCACGACGGAGCCTCAGCTACCTCATCTATAAACAAAATGCCATTTGTCTCATAGGTTTTCAGCAAAGATTAAGGAAGAAAAAACTGAGGAGAGAGCTAAACGTAAGGCTGTGTGGCTGTTTCAGGTTGGGGTGGCCTCCAACTCGCCCTGGAGAGAGCTGTTTCATTCCTCTGGTCCCATATGCCACCCCCC